TTTTAAAGAAAAGATATAGATTTAGGTGTGAAAAAAATATATTATATCCATTCTAAAGAAATATGTACAATAGGTATGGACATGAATGTAGGGTGTATATTTACAGAAGTTTATCAAATAATTTCAATCAACTTACTGCTGATGTGATATTTTTTGACATTTGTTTTACTCTACAATGGGAGTAGTTAATAGATGTATGTGATAAAACGAATAGAAAAATAAATAAAAATGGAGTGTCACATCTCAAAGTTTTCACAGTGGGTTTTCTTTTTTTCTTTTTTTTTCTTTTTTTTAAATTATTTACAAAATCGTTTATTTATGATCTCTGAATATGTTTGGTATTGATTTTATTGTGTGACTTATATTTCTTATTTTCAATTTTGATATCATTCTTCTTATTCTTCTTATCATTATATTTTTTTTCGTTAAAATAAGGGGAACAATAAATAGATCCATGCTTTTACTAAATTAACCCACCCACTCTAACCATCAAGGAAAAACAAAATGACCTCTAGATTTATTTCTCCATTATTGGATTTGCAACCAATAAAAACCAACCATATACATCATGATTATCATATTCTATAACGAAATTTCATATTTATATCTATAATTAGCTGGTTTCTATCCTTGAAATTTGCTTATTGGCTTAATTATTTAGTATGTGCTTGACTTATGTTGATTAGGAGAAGTTTTGAGAGAGGAAGTTAATTCTTGATTGATGAAAAGTTCAGAATGTTAAAAAGTTACCAAACTCTATTTGTGAGGCATTTTAAAGGAAATTTATTTTATAATTCAAATTCAATTTTGAATTTGCATTACAAGTATGCAATTTCTCAAAATTCGTTCTAAATTCTAATGTACCATTAATTCCAAACCAAAATTCTTAATTAATGAAAATTAAACAAAGTTAACCATTTTACAAAAACTTTGTCATTACATAAAAAACATTATATTGATATAATTTCATAACATCAAAATTTTGATATTTAATGAACAACTATCTTATTTCAATTACCCATATAAGGTACCAAAATTGGTATAATAATATTATACATATTTTTCAAAATCTAATAATTGCAATTAAACTAACAAGAAAAAAAATTTAGAACCCAAAAAATTTTTACCTTGCCAAATATTTTCCTTCCTTTCTATTTATTCATATATACATCTAAATATATTTTTAGAAAGTTATTATAAACAATGTGCATACAATTTTAATGGTTGTATTTTTTGTACCCACTTTTTAATAATAACCTTACGTTACAAATTATATGTTAGATTTAACAATACCATACCCAATATTGGTATAATATAGTTGCAACAAAACCACCTTTTATTGGTAATACATAAGAAAAGAAATCAATACATTGTAGATATTGTCATGTATTGCAACAAATTCACTTAATTTTATCTAAATTGTATTACAATGTAAACTATGTATATTACATTTAAAATAAAGTATGAGATTTTATTAGAATTAAAATTTCAACATAAAATAAAATAAAATAAAATAATATTGTATTATATGATTTTTGAGATGTTCATATTAATTACTTTTCACTGAGATATCATTGACTCAATGCACAAGTAATGACTTTCAAGACAATTAGATGTGAATTGTCACTTACATGAATAAGATTTGAGATATAGAACAATAAAAACAAACAAGTTCACAAGCAAGTCTCATTCATTCCATACAAAATGAAGAAGACCCCCCGAATGATATTTGGCGGGAACAAGAGGGATCCCCATCCACGTCAGCAATATGGATGGAGGATTCCATGCCCTCCTACATTCATCCGCACTCGACGACGATGGAATCCCCCCTCCCCTTCCACTCCCATTGGTTCCCCTGCCAGCTCTCCCGCCATGAATTGTTCCCTTTCCGTTCCCATCGGGGAACCGTTCGCCACACCACCTCCACCACCCCCGTTTACCCCGTGGCCCGCGCCATCCAACCCGGCCCGGCCCGTCCCGTACCCCCTGGGCTATGATAGGACTCTGCATCCACCTCGCCCTGTCAGTGCTTTCACACCTGGACAAGCCCCCCAGGTCCTTAAAATTCTCATCTCTATAATTAATTAATTAATTAATTCGTTATATCTAAATAATACAACAGCGTGGGTATAATACAGAGACAAAGAAGGTTTCTAATTTATCAAATATGAGAACATGAGAACTAGGGAACATGGGAACAAGGAAGCATGAATGAATGAGGGAATGGATGGATGTACCAGAGATTGCAGTGTCCAACAGTATGGGTTTTTGCTAGTGTCTATATATATATATATATATAGAGAGAGAGAGAGAGAGAGAGTTTATAAATGATGTAGTGAAATGTTGGGGGTCATACTTTCAAAGCCATTATGGTATGTGATATTTTTTTGCTTTTTAGGATATTTTGTATGAGCATTTATTTATTTTTATTTATTTTTATTTTTTTGGTGTTGCATACATTTCAAGATTTTGTAAGATGTAGTTGATAAGTGGATTTTTGACTTTAGAGAAATTTCAGATGAAATTTACAATATCAAATGGAACTATAGCTAAAGTATCTTCAAAATGGCATAATTTAAAAAATTATCCATTTACAATGTGTTATTGTTGTTGTTGTTGTTTGTTTGTTTTTTTCTCCTTCATTATCAATAGCAAAAAAATAAAACAAATAAAAAAAATAGTAGTTATTTTTTAAAATTTACTTAGTTTAAAAATAACAAAATGATAACCTAGGAATTTTATTTTTATTTGGTCTTGTAATCAAGTGCATTGTTGTCCTTTATTTAATATTTAGAACTAAGATTGATAAGGGGGTACACAATTTTTTATGTTTTTTTAATATTTTGATATCTATTATATACTAAGTCATGACATCCAAATACTCACATACTCACTACATTATTTATGTATCCTCTAAGTTTACATAGACATCTGAAATCTTAGATATCATAGAAATATAACATTCAGTCAATTTATTTTATCATGCAATGCATGAAGCATCTTTAATGAAGCACTTTATTATCATTAACATTTTAGCTGATTCTATTCCACATATCAGATGATAATAATAATTAGGTTTTCATTGTTTGATTTATTTTTATATACTTGGAACCAATCAGATATTGTGTGTAAATGTGTGAGTATATGCATGTATGTATTGACATACATACATACATACATACATGCAAGGATTAATTTAAATTATATGTGGAATTTGGATTTTTAAAAAGTTCGGTTTTATACGTTTTTTGTATTATTTTAGAATTATGAAAAACTGAAATTCAAAGTGGAGATAAAATAAATTGACTGAATGTTATATTTTACAGATATTTCTATGATACTCTAATTTTAGAACCAAAATTAGTTAAAATTCTCACTCGGATAGTAATAAAAATTTAATAAGATATTTAGAAATTGTTATTTTTGACCTTTTAAAATCATTGAAAAGTCAAGTATTTTGATTAAAGTTAAAACAATGCAAATATATATATATATATATATATATATATATATTTAGTATCCAAATTTTATAATAGTACCTGAATTATAATTTAAAAGATGTAAAAAGGATAGAAAGAAAAAGGAAAAAAAAGAAGAAAAAAAAGGTGCTTTTTTATATTATACATTTTTAAAAACAACATTTATCCACTCAATTTACCAATGTTTAACTTATTAGCATAGTACTTTAGCAAGACAAGTAATTTTATTGTACCTATTTTTTTTTTTTTTTTTTATAGTTTTGATACTAAAAATACAAATTTAGAAACAAACTTTGGGCTCTTACTACAGCATATTGTAAACCTGTTTCAATAAAATAAAAATCAAACGACATAGCTAAATTTACACCTCAATTTTCGATTATCAAATAGAAAAGTAATATTTCAGACGAATTTGTTTTATTAGCTAAGAATTGTAGTCTAATGAAAATATGTTTTTGGTGCGAACCTAAAATGGAATGTGCTCAGTCAACAAGATTCAATTGATATGAGAACAGCTCATATGCTAGAAGACGCAAGATTTTAATATCTTAATACAACTATGAAACAATCATTAGACAATAGAAATTAAACCGAGCAATAAAATGATGACCAAAAAAACTGTAGAAATGACATTGTAATAAATAATAAGACACTTTTAATGAGTGGATATTATAACCTTGAGTTGACTCTTCTGTCATAATTATTTTTACTGTCATTTCTTAACATAATCAACAAAAAATCTCTACAAATTTATCAGACATCAAACTTTGCTCAAACCAAATTAAGGGAAATAAGGATAACATACTTCTTTTTTCTTTTTCTTTTTCTTTTTGCTTTGTCTGTATGCATACACATACATCCATACAACTTCTAGAAAATGTCAAGCTTGTCATCAACTGTGATGTACCATATACAACAAATTGCAATGGTTTCTTGTCCACAGGAGCAAGCCTCTGAAAAGAAATGGTAGTGACCATTATGCAAACTTCATACACTCTCCTCCTACAACTTCCCCTCCCCCCCTCCCTATGATGCACCACCAACATGGGCAATTTCCCCATCCATCCAGCATTATCCCTTAGTTCCATCCAAATCCTATCAACCAGTTCTGCTGCCACTCACAGTGCACAAGTCAACATTATGCCACAATTCTCATCCTAAGTCATGGGCCATACCTTCACACCCACCAACATCCATGTCCAGTATCCCGCTCCTTCCAACCGAATGTTGCCAACAACTACCCTTTCAGGGCGCCATTATTGTCACAGTGCAAGAGGTCTAGCTGTTGAGTAGACAGTCTTGGATGCCCACCCTTGAAGCCATCTTTGGATGTCTGCGTTTGGCAGCCATTCATGTTTGAGAGACCTGTGTTTCAAAGCAAACGAACAGCTAAACCTCCACTGGATTGACCTCGTGGGAGGTATTAGAATCGAATCATGGATCCTCAAGCCCCGTAGAGGGCCAGAATCCATTGTCAGAAGTGCGGAGTCAGAAGTTGCAACCACAAAGAAACACCTCAAGTACTGGATAAATTACTTGGCCACGGTGAGGTGGGTGCTCGGAGTGCAAGTCAGCACTCCATATTCTCGACATTATCTGTACTCTTTTGGTGATAATAATGAAAATGACAAGTGACATTACGGCCCTGAAGACAGATGCTATAATTCCTGAGAGCTATGTCATCTATTATGTGAACCTTGCTCAAGTGTTCACTCCCGGATTACCATGATCTATAAATCTCAGAAGCTTTATAGCTATTTGTACAAATAGTCCGATAACTCGGTGAGAGAATTCTTTAAGTCATTGGAATGACTTGTAACTAGAACTAAAATACGCTCCAAAGCATGGTAACCTAGGTAAAGCCGAAACCACCAACTGAACACTTGTGTGTCGCTCTTTGTAAATATGCTTGACTGCCTGAAAGAGACGTTAACAGAGGTCTTCCCATTTAAAAGGGGCTAACTAAACGGGCAAGTTGCAAAAGAAATTCTGGCACAAGTCGTTGACAACAGTGTGCCTCCTTGACGCCTTCTGCTCTCGCTTCCTCGTCATTCTCATGAATTAAAGATATCATATCTGCGAGCAACTCATCTTTTCCACCTCGCATTGGATCCTACATCCAAAAACCAGAACTGTCTAAGATTAATGAATCACGGCAAACATCGGAAACGACAAGTCTTTCAGTATTAACAAAAGAATGCAATCGGACTAGAAAAGTGCCATGGTATGTACCACTAAGACAACAGATAATCCCATACTTCAAATAGAAATGAGCACACAGCTCAGAGTCAAGGCATAGCTAATAAGTATTTTCGTGCAGGTATTTAAAATTTAGATAGTCAACAAATTAGTATTGGTAAACTGAAAAAGGGTCCTTCAAGCTACATTTTCAACAAACATTACGAGAATTGGCATAAAAAGGTTTGCATTGCTTAGAAATGTGAGGTCGCCTCGTGCTATACGCCAACAAGAAACCTGACAAATAGTTTAGGCAACATAACACTCCAAATCGGCGTAATAATTTCCAGAACTAACTGTCTACATAGACATTCAGGTTCTACATCGAAAACTGATCAACTCTTGAACTCAGTCAACCTCTTACCCTCTATTAAAGAGTTACATGTGAGAAAGAAAACAGGTCAATACGAGATAAAAGCTCAGTACTAAAGAATCTGAACAGACACACGAAAAACATTGAACGCATACCTGCAGAAACAAGTCGGTGTGTGTCTTGTCTGGGTAAAACACCGTATTAACACGTGCACCCACCAATCGCAAGGCAACCGCAAACGCCACACTGCACATATCGATAATTCAATACAAATAAAATAGCGTAAATACCAAAAACATTCCGGAAAACAACTCTATCATACTAGTGCGTTCTCAAATCAGGTGACACGCTGCAAACGCATAGAACCTTACATAAATAGGAAAACAGTTGAAATACCTGGATACATGGGGAATGGAGTAATCTGCTGTTCCGTGATACAATGTGATAGGGGGAAGCAAAGGCACAGCCCTTCTAAAAGCTGGTGTCAAAACCATGTATTCTGGAGAAAATTTGGGCAAAGACTTCTCCCCCTCCATCATGCTGCATGGGCATAAACAATCATAAAAAATTAGCATGTAAAAGGAAAAATTTAGTCACCATTTTTGACTAGAATTTTGGATTGAAATTTGTCAATTTTGGTAGCAATCTCAGCAACGAAACTTTTCATATCGACTATGCATTTGTGTCGAAAGTTTCCAAGGCGCACCAATAGCCGCTACTAGGCACTACGAGGACGAGAGTACCTAAAGAAAATCTGCTTATAAAGACCCCTTTTATGAAAATGTTCCGAAAGCTTCGTCAGGTTGTATCTGCGCAACATTGAATTCAAAGAAATGAAGCTTTTGTTAGGGATCCTATTCTGAAGACTAGAATACCAGATTTATATTAAACATCAAGCATCAAGCATCAAGCATCAAGCATCAAACATCAAGTTTTCTGTTGCCCAACAATACTCAAATTCCACTCCAAAATATTCATAAGTTAAGATTTCCCATAAGTGCCTGACACAGTTGTTGAGTATTTAAGTTAGTGGAGTACAAAAACCAAAAGAAACCGTCAACTGAAAAATCCATACTCAGAATGGACGAAATCAACTTACCCGCCCGAAATAGCCATGCACGCATTAATCTGGGATGACCGCCAAACAAGGTCTGCTGGGTCCTGAGTTATCTCTTTCTCCGCTTGCATCAACAAAGCACAAGCCGCAAGATGCGCTCCAGCAGATTGACCTGCTAAGTAAACCCTGCTCCACAATACAGGAATGAGGACAATCATCTCAAGAGCAAAAATTTCTGGAATTTGTACCATGTAGGAAAATGTTCAACCATAGAAGAGTAGCATAAGATAAATCAATGTAGATAACATATTGGACCAGATCCACGTAAAGAGGTTACACACTCAAAACTTCAGCATAACATGAATCACACCAATGAAGTGCAACACTTCATCTGACTCACATGTTTGGGTCGCCACCATAGCTCTCCAGGTTCTGAAACACATAGCCTATCCCTGTTGTGACATCGGATATCATATCGCTGATGCTTCCTTGAGGAAAATTTCTGTAATGTCCACACCGATTGTTAAGATCGTGCACGTTGTGTATGAATATGTTCCTGCTGCTAACAAAGAAGCTAAACAATAAAAATGGCTAACACTACAGCAGCAATCACGACCACTACAGCATTTTTTCAGTTCATCGCTAGTACCCAAACGTCGTGAACCTGCTTGTAAAACCACAAACTGGGAAATAAACACGCAATCAAAGAACTAACTTGTACGAAAAGGACAATTTCCAAGAACACCATCGATTCAGACCTGGTCAACATTAAAAAGAGACAATAACGACGAAATCCAGCAACATGTTTAAATGCTAAGAATAAGAAGATTTAAACTGGGTGAGGTGGTACCTGTAATCGATGCACGCTACAATGATGTTACGATCCAAAAACTTCAGCGCTAACAAAGATCCCCACGCCTTATATCTAAGGCACACAACTTCTTAGTCAAAATGCGCAGCAAATAATTGAACGACAAAAATTCACGGGGTGAGGAAGAATGATGTAAGAAGGTATCCGTACATACCCGATAACCCAAGCTCCGCCCGTTACAAATATTACTACTGGCCTCGGTTTGTCAGTGTTAGGTGGCAAATACAAGTCAAACCTGTTCTATCATTGTCAACTAGAGATGAGAAGACAGGAGATGAAAAAAATGCAGTATATAAAAACAAAGAAAACAAAGCGGAGGGGGGTTACAAGGCTCCACTTCGATATAAAGTGAAAAGACCGGGTGAATTTGGCGTATATCTTTGGATTAACTGAATTGCAAGACTGTCAAGTATTGCAAATACCAGAGCATGTTGGTACAGTATTAAGTTCCTGGCACAAACTACATTATAAATACAATCGGAAGTAAAGCTCCTAACCTGTTCCGAGGTTGATTTCCATATATAATGCTTCGATGTACACGCGGGTCAAAATAATAGAAATATCCCACTGCAAACATCAAAAGATCCGCTTAATACAGGCGTGTTGCAAATAATAACAATGATACATTCTAAGAACCTCACGTGCTGCTGCAACAAAAACTAAGCTCCTCAGTCCTAAGCTTGACAGTGCCCTCAGATGGACAAGCACAGCTGCTGTCATAAAAACTTTTTAATACACAGACTAGATACATGTGCTGGAAAGGTCCTCACAGGCCTCATGGAACCATGTTCACCTGCATAGGTGAACTAGGATGCAACAAAGGTTATAGTGTGAACCTAAAAGTAAAGGGCAAGGGTGTCAAACTCACCCTGAAGAAAGCCTATCATGAGACACGCTGCATAAAGACCCAGCCGGATGAACTTGCCAATCCATCGAGTTCCAACTCTGATCCATCAAAACACTAAGAATCATTACCAGGTTGTACACGTAAATGAAACAAAGATCACTTATACAAACGTGCGACAAATTTTCACGTTGAAACTGAATAGGCCCTAACGATAGCAACATCATTGCAATCCGGTGATAGCAGGATTCGACAATGAAACAGACAACCAACAAAATCCATGGGCTTCAGCGTTCACAATCCAAAGCCACCCAAAATGAAATACAGCCATCAGCAAAACCTCTAAGGTGTAATTGCAGCTGTATCCTCAGACATAACTTACTCGACAAACTGAAAAAAAATCACAGGAATATGAGAGCGACAAAAAGGGCCTACCCTTCTGCCAGTGAGCGAGAAGGAGTCCATCAAAGATATGACTGAATTACCCTAGTAACTTCAACAGTGTGAGGGCTAATCGGGTAATCATGAAGGTCTCAGTGGCTGCGTGGCGTACATCCTGCGTGAACTCTTTCAGAGAGCCTTGACGAAGAGGACTACCCTTACCAAACTTACTTGGACCTGAGAAGGTCCTTCGCCGGTGATTCTCTAATCCGGGTAGAGTTTTCTGCGCATACATTCTGGTAACCATCAGGACTCAAAATGCGGAAAAAACTAAGAAAAGCAGAGCAAAAAGACTGTATTTCAAAAAGATGTCAAATATGCAAATGACACATGATGAAAACATTCGACCACAGCGACTGTTATTGCTTACTGAATTTTGCCTAGACACACTCGCTGTCACCTCTACCTTCCATAGACCTCACAACGCACAGCGAGTCATATAGACAATGCCAGATTCTTCAAGCAAGATTAACTGAAGAAGTACCCCGCACTAGTTACATGATAAATACCATGAAGTCTACCGTTCTCTCTGTGATTTCCCAGGTAAGTAGTGCGAACCTCTCAGTGGATTGTAAACTGTAAAGCAATAAACGATCTCCACATCTGTCTATTCTGCGAAATCTACGCAATCCGACTATTTATGATCTCAAATTCCATGCCCAAACTCCCTTGCTAACATCTTCCAATTTAATAAATTGAGCTACACCATTAAACAATTGCATCACATTTGCTCAGAAAATTCTCATATCAGATCGCGATTACTTCGAATGCATTGTCTTAAACCAATTCCATCAAACTAAAACAAGAACCACAGCTAGCAGAGGAATCCAACAATCTGCAGTGAAATGCTCTGTCCCGAAAACGTCTTCTCTGCTTTCCCCCACTACTCTTCACGCTGAAGCCTTCCAAGAAGTATACCAATCAACCAAACCACACAGCCAGACAACATCCAAAGAGTTCAGCTGCATTCTCCTACCCGCTGCGACAACAGCCGAGGCCCCCTTCGAGTAACGACGTCCGATTGAAACCGCAAGACATCACGCTGATTTCCGCCATCCTCTACCATGTCTCGATGTACCGCGTCCACGGCCTCCGGCAGTGGATCCGCAGCAATTCTCCTGACGTCCGCGGGCGTCGTTTCCCGTTCCTTACTCTCCACATTCACCTCCCCACTGCCAAGCACCTCCGCCTGCTTCATTCCATCCACTTCGTACCTCATCAACCCCGAATCCGGCGCATCCAAGCAAATTCCTGGCCCCGGTGTCTCCATTTCGTGGTGTGCCTGCTGCGCCAAACAGCATTTAAACAACCACCTCGTAATTGCTACCTCCTCCAATAGCAACTAATCACATGACTCCAAACTCTCCTCAACCTATCACCTCTCGCACCGAATGACAAATCACCGAAGCTCGGATTCCCCCGATCTCGGCGAGCTCGCCATGAGTACATCAAGTCCACCCGAGACAATAACAACCTTTTCCCCGAAACCGACGCGTGACCCGGATTCCACTCCACCAGCAGTGAACAAGTCCTATTGCCACCAGTCGCGTCGATCGGAGCGTCATAAACGAGGAAACCGACATCGGGACCACGAGCGTATATGGCAGCCATGCACCACCACTCACGCTGTGCATTCTCAACCTTCCCCTGGTTGCGACTACTCCTTGCGACGGAATCGAATCCTCGACGATGATGCTCCCCTCCCTCCGTCGCTTCAATTAGGGTTTCGACGTTGCACGGAGGAGGACGAGGACGAGGACGAAACTGAGGATGGGACCCTGGATTGAGTGGTTCTTTATGCTGGGATTTTTATCAGATCTTTTTCATTTTGTTGTGTCTTGAGGTGCCTTTGACTTTATCAATTCTCATCCATTCTTTTTCCAAGTATCATTATATTCGTTTTGTGTAAGTTGCAATGAATCAATCACGTATCCTAGAATTAAGAAAATTAACATGAAAATTATATGTAAATCTTCTTGTTTGTAGAAAAACATGGATTTAATCTATGTTGGTTTATTCATATATATATATATATATATATATAATAGAGTATATAATTTTATGTTATTATTTTTATTTTTTATACAATTGATATAACTTTTGTAATTGTGCTTTGTCAAATAATATAAATAGAAATTTAATAATCAATATCACATTTTGGAGAAAGTATTATATGAAGCAGTATGTACCAGTGTATCCATATTTGCCAGTTCTTTTTGTAATAAAATCCAAGTTACTTAAACAATTCTTGTGATGTGTTACTATACTACCAATCTATATAGAAATTTAGTACCATTTTTTTTAAATTTTTTTTAAAGATGTATCCAATTGACACCAATAAATATTTATTACACTTTTTACACACAATAGAGGAGAAAAATAAATAAATAAATACATAAATAAAACTAACATAGACATACACACATTGTCATTGACAAATTTCCAAAAATGAACTTATTTCAAATACCTTGTGTCTCAAAGAAATTGTTGTAATTATTAGCATTTACAAAAGTTCTAAAAAACTCGTCATAAATCATTATTTGTGTAATTAAAAATTAAATAAAACTTTACTTACAAAAAACAGTATCAAATATTGATTTTTAAAAATTTAACTATAATACAAAAATTTATTATATTTAAATATTAAAATCTTAGAATTAAAATTAAAATTATCATGTTTTAACTATGATTATTGTATTATAGCATGTACTTAAAAAATGACGCAATTATTGTACAAATAATTTAACACAATCGTTGCAAAATAACTGGCATGATCCTGAAATTTAACAAAAAATATACAAATAAGTACAAAAATACAAAAAAAAAAAAAAAAAAAAAAAAAACATGAAAGTTTAGTTGGATAAATTTCAAGAGTTGCATACAACAACTAAAATGCAAAAAAGAGAATTTTTTGTTTGCGAGAGAGAGAGAGAGTGAGTGAGAATGTGCACATTGGGTTTGTTTCAGTTTCAGTGTTGGGCGTCGTTGCCCTAAACCCACTAGTTGCAAGTAGCATCGTGGCGGAGATTCCAAGGTGGAGCTCTGTAAATTTTGAATCTTTACCTGCTTGCTCCACCTGAGGCAGCCGAGGAGGGTAGTAGTGTTATGTTTTTTTTCTGCTCAGTTAGGTGTGGATCTGTATTTGAGTGAATTGGATCTACAAACCTCTGGAATGCTGGCAGAGAGCGGAGCGGAGCATTTATCTTGGGGGATCCGGAGCTGGGCTTTGTTGGTCTTGTTTGTTCCAGTATGTGACGCGTTTGCACATCGTTTTTTTTTTTTTTTTTTTTTTTTTTTTGTATTTTTTTTTGGTTTTTTGAAGTTGGGTCTCCTCTTCCATGGAGATTACTGACTCTGGATCACATGGATGTGGGATTAGGGAGAGGCAGCGACGATGGGAGAAAATGCGGTTCCCAGCAATATGGCGGAGCTCTTGGTGGTGCGCCACGGTGAAACCAGCTGGAATGTTTTGGGTCGACTCCAGGTGCTCCGTAGCTTTCTTATTTACATGTTTGTAATGTATCCTTTTTAGGTGTTTCAAGTTCCCAACCTGCAGCATTCAGAAGCTTTCCTGCGCCCATGCTGACTACCTACTTAGTTGTATTTTACTGGTTATGTTGTTGAATCTCTTTTAGTCTCAAGCCCAATCGCAGTAGAGTTTGTTTTTGCTTCCTCATGCGTAGAGTCATTGAAATACTATAAAGTAGGTAGAATCTACGGTATATTATGTTCAGGTAGCTTAACCTTCTTTTGAAGGGATTCCCACGAAAGATTCTATTTCTTTAGCATGGCGGAGACCATCTGGTGAAGTCCTCTGTATGGGCTAGCACTTAGCAGTTAGCAATGCAAGGTATTTTCAATTCATATAAGGTCAGGTCACCATGGAAATTTGAGATGGTACTTGAGAGATTTGGGGAAGATTATATTTTGTAGGCTATTATTTCTGAGCTCATCAGTCTTACATTACGGTTTCGTTTTTACGGTCCTTCAGTACATTAAATACGTTGGACTTATTGTAGAGCTGAAGCTACTTATAGCCTAAAGACGATGCCAATGTGTGTTGTAAACAGTTTAGAGTGCTGAAGTGGAACTTAAATTGTGTGCATTGTCTAGGGGCATGCGGAATCGGATCTCAATGAAGCTGGCAAGAAGCAAGCCCAGGCAGTTAAGTTTGCTAAGCTTTTGAAATTGTTCCGCACAGGTGCGCAGTCGTCGTTCAACGATCACTTCTTTCTGCATATTGTTGTTTTATTGAAAAAGTTGCATAATTTGATTACCATTAAGCTTGTTGTCCGGTAATGTTCTCTAGGCGGCTGAGAAGTTAGCAAGCATGGGGCTAGAATTTGCTGCCATTTACTCTTCGGATCTAAAAAGAGCTCTAGACACCGCCCAAGCTATTGCGGACAAATGTCAGTGCTCCAACGTAAAGATGAACTTTGAACTCTTATCGATTTAAGGATTCTCGATTTCTCACGTATGATCGTGCACTTATATATATTTTGACGATTACATGTAGTCAATATTGCAGCCTAGAAAGGCCGCATTTTCAGATGATTCCATTATTTGTTTCAGCTGCTTCCATCGTCAGATTTGTAACAGTTAGGGTTTACGCAGGTCATTGTTAGAGAGAATCTTCGTGAGAGATGTTTGGGGGATCTGGAGGGTCTGACACGTTCTGAGGCGAGAACTGCAGCACCAGAGGCTTTAAAAGCGTTCATGAAGAATAATGACTTCCTTCCAATTCCTGTACGACTAGCAGTAGATCCCAACTTTTACTTCACAGTTCAATTCCATCTCTTATCGTGTTTATATCATGCCTTATATGCTGCAAGTGCTCATTTACAAAGTGATCTGCTTAGAAATTGGTAAAATGTTTAGCTCAAGTTTGAGGTTCACACTTGTATGCAGGGCGGAGGGGAGAGCTTGGAGCAGTTGTGTGTGCGTGTCCAAAATGCTTTTGAACAAATCGCTTCAGGAAGCCTAGGTGAATTGCTGTCCACACACTTAAGAGTTGTTTTCAACACTACATTGCCCAGATGCTCTCTTGTTTACGATTGATCTTTGAGATAAGGCAATGTAATGAATCCATTTTGAGGGAAGGGCACCATATTCCTAACTTGATTAATGATTGAGGCCTGCACTATAACATCGTAAATCACCAATTTAGATAGACACAGAGACTGCATTTGTTATAACTCCTTAGGTTCCTCATTGCTTCGACAGAGATGCCAGTGAGTTGCTACTGCGGGCCTGTAAATTTTGTTCAGATCTCCGCACTTTGTGACATACCTCAGAGGAGAAGAATGCTCCAACTTCCCTTTTTTTTTTTTTTTTTTTTTTTTTTTTTTTTCCTGTGATGTTAGTCAAGAGGCTTTTCATCGAACCAATTGGCTCACCAGGAAAACTACATCACCTTTGTGATGCAGGCAAAAGAGTTGTGGTGGTCACGCATGGTGGAGTGTTGCGTACTGCCCATATTCTTGCAACAGGCCTGCCTTGCTCTGGGAAGGTTGTGAATGCCTCCATCAACGTTTTCCGCATCTCTGATGAGAAAGACTGGACGATCACTTGTTGGGGTGCAGCCAGCCATTTGCAGGATATTGGGTTCCTTGATACAGGATTTGGAGGAGACAAGCTCTCCGGGTAGGATTTTTCCATTCCTGGGTCATAGTTTTGATAATATTCTGTTAGGGTGTCTGAGTAGGCCAGTATCGTCATATTCACCTATGCACAAGGTATTTATATTTGTTGTGTGGACCATTTCTGCCTCTGATAGGCAGTGAAGCCAATGAGGCGTATAATCTAGTACAGCCGTGGCTGGTATTGATCATTCAAACTGAAATCTAGTAGCGTTTTGTTTTGTTGATCAATAAAAAAAAATATCTATATTTGAATTATAAATATTGGAAGTCATGAGTCTATGAATAATGTTTTTGTGCTTACACTGTTAAACAATCAAAAGACAGAAATCTAACGTGGTAAATGGAAATCAATGAGATGATCCAAATGGAATTATAACTAACAATGTGTTTTTATTTTGTTGTGATGCATTCATGGTATTTGTGTGAAGGATGCATGTATGAAAATTTTATACGTAGCAGATACTTAGGTTGTGTGAATTCGTTTCTTTGTAGAAATGATATAATATGATTTTATCTTTTTAATATTAATGTTTAAAAAAATCTCACAAACTAATTACAAATCATCTTTAAAAACTATCTTGTAACTAAAAATTTGATCCTAAAAAATAAATTCAAAAGAGCACTATTCTAATTCAGATTAAGTCACATCATTGATTAATTAAAAAAAAAAGGAAAAATTTGTAATAAATATTTTTCTTAATTTAGAAATTTTAATGGATTGCTAAGATTGTAATATTTTTTTTACTATCAAATATCAATCATAAAAATTATTAATGATATTTAAAATAATCAGTAATTAATAAAGTTAAAAAAATTATTATGATAAGGTTATAAGGATTTTGATTCAAATAAGTAATACTAAGTTGTGGTCCAAACACAAGAATTTTGAAGAAAAAGTCAACAAAAAAAATTGGTTGGCATATGATCTTATATTTCTTTACAAAGTTAAGATTAGCTAAAGAATTATACTTTCTAACACAAATGTTAAAAAATTATTATTATTCTATAATTATCTTTAAAAAAATCACACAAAATTAAAGATGTGCCCATAGTTACACTAATAGAAATATAAAATAATATTGTTTTTTATGTTATGTTGTGTATGTAATTTTGATTTGATCTTAAGAGATAATAACTTTAAAAATCATAATTATAGATGTTAGGATTAAATAAATACAACTTATTGTATCATAGGATGATAACTAAAAAAATGATAAGTAAATAATAGAAATATTTATTTAATATACTTTTGATTCTTTTTTTAATATTTTAGATACAAACCAAATATATTGCTATAAAAATCCTATATTTTATTTGCAAACAAATATGTAATAAACTTTGTATCAATGTTAGCCATTAGATTTTGAATATAATTGAATCTTAAAACTATAATACTTCCATATATATAATGTATATAAAGACATTGAATAGATATTATTCAAATTATTTAATGGTAGTTTATAAGTTTTGGTAAGCGAACATAAGAATATTTATCAATAGTATATATTGGAATAGACCACCAATTATTTATAAATAATACTTATTTATTTATTTTAAAAATAAAAGATAACAATCTATTATAAAATTGCATTGTGTAAGTTTTAGTACAAGTATATTTTTTCAATTATAGACCAAAAACACGAAATCATCTTATTAAACAAGAATTTGACTAATTCGAATGTAATCATGCTTCCAAAAAAATTATACAAAGAATAATCAAATAATCATTTTAAAGTATTTGTACTAATCAACTTTTCTACATAAAACTTTGGTGCATACTTGAACCATGGAAATAATGCAATTATAGTCTCAAGTATCAAGGAGGATTTTAAACATTTTTATTGTACATTGGGTGATCTTTGACATATAATACAATACATGATTTAACCTCATATTACTATATATACATGTAGACACATACATTCATGCACACACATACATTTCACATGCACATACATTATTAGCTTCTTAATTCTCATATCAAACATATTTACTAAAAATAAACACTCACTTATTCTTCCATAAGTATAAAACCTTCCATCTTAAACATATAGAGATATATGCCAAGTCCAAAGCATGCCAAAAAATGTTACATACAATAAAATTATATATATATATATATATATATGAAAACATGTACACACTAAAGACAAAAAATTCACCTCAAGGGGCTCGTTAGAGTAAAGGTTTTATAGTTTTTTTGTGACTGCCCGTTGACAGAGCATGAGGGCTACCACTTCGGAATCCATTTGCAAACAGCAGATGAACGTTGCGGATGTACGAGAAACAACATACATAGTATATAAAGGAAATCATTCATCCACAAAAGCAAACAGGCTTCGTGGAAAGGGGGAGGGGGTGACCTAATTGTGCGATGGTGTCGTCGCAGTCCCGACGCGCTTCAGCCGGCCAAATGGCGACGATTCTGTCGAGCACAGCGGGTTTGGGGTAATGGGTATGGCATGATTCTGGTAATACGTCTTCTCCTCGCACCGTGCTTCACAACCCACAACATTGATTGATCGATTCTTATTCAAATGCGGACTTGTCTCTGGTGACGCCATCTCTGAAGCTTCCTCCCTCACACGGCACATCTTCTCTACCGTTTTGCTCGGAGGCGTTAACTTCCTTCACAGATCCCGCGTTCTTTTGTCCTGCTGATCGAGAGCACTTGTTTCCCCTACCCACCCATCTTCTTGTCTCTGGTTGTTTGTTTTGGAAAGGCGGGAGCGGAGGGATTGAAATATCGATCGCCTCGTGTGTTTGATACGGACCCTGCGTTGAGAGTGGGACGTGTTGTTGTGGGTTTTTGGTTCGGGAGCGATGGGGGATACTAACCGAGCGAAAGGGATGGAGTATGAGAAGAAGGCGGAGAAGCGGTTGACTGGGTGGGGATTGTTTGGAAGTACCCATAAGTATGAAGACGCCGCTGATTTGTTCGAGAAGGCTGGAAATGCGTACAAGCTTGCTAAAGCCTGTGAGTAAAATTTTCGGGGTTGTAGACTTCGGTTCGGGTCTTGGCAGCCGTTCGATCGTGGTAATGCCAGGTTCCGTGGGCATTCTGGTTACTTCTAGGTTGTGATCTTGGAGTTGTTTTTGTTTATTTATCTATTTATTTTCTAAATATTTGTTTCGTATCCAGGGGACGAAGCGGCTATCGTGTACACCAAGTTGGCGAACTGTCAGCTGAAGGTATGAATTCTTTTTGCTTTGATGTTCTTTTGCTTAGCTAGTAGGAAATTTCAGAGAGACAAATATGAGGTGTATTAAAATTTCCGGGCGACACAAGATTCTAGGGATTGATCCTACTTTTAAGAAAGTGTTTGACATTAGCCTTTTATGGATTGCAGTTGGACAGCAAGCATGAAGCAGCTGCAGCTTATGTTGATGCTGCAAATGCCTACAAGAAGAAGCCAGACACCGACCGTAAGGCCCATTTGACGATGATAGAAGCCTGTCGATTTTTTTCCTGCTGTTTGCGTTCGTGTTGAGAAGCTCCAATGTTTTTGGTTGCTATTAAATACTATCTAACGTGGGTTTTTCTCTTCGCAAAACAGAGTGTGTCAGGATGATGAACATGGCTATACATATGTTCGAAGAGATTGGAAGATTATCAATGGCAGCTAAGCATTACAAGGTAATGATTTCTCGTAGTTTAGTAGTTTGTCTTAGTAGTTTCAATGGAATTTTCGGTTGTATTTCATCGAGCATTGAAGGAGAAGACGTGATGGAAGAAAGTAGCGCGTGCTTTGTACCTATTTACTAGGGTTGACTGTGAATTAGTGACTGGTATATTGTGTAGTATGTCCACATTTATAATCAACAAACCGAAACGGTGTGGTGAGGAAATTGCTCCAGTACATGTGATCAGAGAACTTATCATAAATGCGAACAGAAAATAATTTCTAACGAAGTATAGTGAGACAAAAGAATCTTTTCGTCACTTATGAGGTGGATCTCTATTTTCCCCTCGAAGACTGATCTTGGTAGAATTTCCTACTAAATTTTAGTTGCTTTTTCATCAAAATACGCATGTAATTTGAACGTTAAATTCCGAAGATTGTAGGTTTTTGATGACGTGGGATGTGTATACAGGACATTGCGGAAATTTATGAGAAGGAGGAGAACTATCTAAAAGCTATAGAGTACTATGAAAAAGCAGCTGATCTTTACTCAGGAGAGAATGTGGACAGTACTAGCAACCAATGCAAGCTCAAGGTTGCACAGTACGCGGCTCAAATGGAACAGTACGTTCTGCTCTTTATTCTACTATACTTGTATCAATGCATCCATTCTGGTGTAAGAGTTGGTTACTCTTTCAAGATTTACAAGGATGTGCTTATAGTTTCATAAATAGAAAACCGTTTTTTCACTTACCATCGCATTTTCAAATCTATCTCAATCTGACTTGGTCAACTTTATTTGACGACCTTCGAAGGTTGATTCAATTGATGCATCGGTTCCTCGTTTGGAAGTATAATGTGAAACACGGTAAATTTTGATGTACTGTTTCTACGTTATGATTTTTTGTCAAATTAATGTCAAATTACACTTCCTACTGAATATAATTGTTTGTTGTCACAGGTACGACAAAGCAATCCAAATCTATGAGGAGGTGGCCAAGCATTCTATGAACAATAACTTGTTGAAGTATAGTGTAAAAGGATACCTTTTGAATGCTGGTCTCTGCCAGATTTGTGGAAGTGATGACGTTAAAGTCGAGAATGCCATACAAAATTACCAGGTTAGTTCACCATCATTGTCATGTTTGGTTCACATTGTCAACAAGATCATCAGTATATCAGGTTGCTTCTGAGTTTCAAGTGAAATACCACTAAAGATATCTCTCTGTGTTGCAGGATTTGGACCCTACGTTCTTTGGCACGAGAGAATGCAAGTTTTTGCAGGTTGCTCTCCGATCTTACAATTTCTTCTTTTCTTTGATGTTAAGTTCTGCTATGTAATGTTGCTATGCTACCATTATCATCCACTTGGTCTGATTATGTGTCCTCAATTCTGAAGTGGAAAAATTATGCGGGGATTTCGCAGGATTTAGCTGCTGCAATCGTTGAGGGGGACACTGATAAATTCACTGATGTTGTGAAAGAATTTGACAGCATGAGCCGCCTGGTGAGCTTAGTTTTCTAAGAGTTGTGGTTCTTGTCAAGTGACGTGAGTTTTAGATGATACTCAGAATGTTTGAATATAACTCTTCAATTGCACACTAATGGCCTCGCGTATATTTTAGTAGCACAGCGAAATGACATTTGCTATCAGGCAGGTAACTTTGACTTGAAAAACAGAACAACGCTCCTCTTTAGCGTGCTTATTATTCCCGATTGATGGTACTAATTATTTTTTTTAATCGGTTGGTGCTTTAGCTAACTTTTTTACAATCATCAGAGTAGTTGCTCTGTCCATTGCGGTCATGTTGCACTTTGGCCTTGTCTTATTTTGTGAAGGTGTTTCAGTATAGAATTGTTTAGGTCATTGCTAACATTTATGGCTACATTTTTAGAGTCCTAACATTCGACTTGGTGGATACAGGATCAATGGAAAACCACGCTGCTGTTGCGAGCAAAGAATGCTTTGAAGAATAAATCTCAGGATGAAGAAGACCTTATGTGAGAAGCTCAGGAATTGGTGCTTCTTTACAGATTAACTGTCGCGTATTTTAGCTTACCTCAAATGGAACAAACGTCACATCCCGCATGTAAAGATATCCCTTTGGTCCTTGGCCTTGCGTTTTCTATTTTTAAAAGGTTCGTTGACCTTGTCAACGACCTTCTTCTATTCCTTGTTATCCTTGCACATCTCCTGTATGATCTCTTGAGTCCTGCGTAAATGACCTATTCCTGGCGGAGCATGTCATGACGCCATCGTACCTGGAAAGATTGTTTTGCCACAATCGTAGAGTGAAGTTTACTTTGAGACATTTACGTGGTACTTTTGGCCATTAGCATTTGAGACTGAATGCACATTAGAATCTAGGAATTTGTGTGACGATCCCACCGATGCTGTTGGATAATTTTTTAAGAAAGGTCGGAGTTGATATCCCCTTTGTTTTTCAGTAACGACAGTTTTCCAATAGCTGGCCTCAATTTCTCAGTATTGTACGCAGAAGTGAGATCACTATCTGTCAACATGGTTTGTGTTTCTCAAATACAACCATTTCTTGTAATCCATTTACTGGAATAAAGATCACTGATTGCGAACTGTTTTCGTCAAGCTGATTGATGAATTTTGAAGGCCGAGTTTATCCGTATTTTGGCAAGATCCAGAAATCACGGACAACCTTAAATCACATTTGAGAAGATCGGTGTATCGATTCGCATCTCCAACGTAACCCATATACAATCGCCGCTTGTGGATGACCTGGTCCTTCGGTACGCTCAGCAGTGTGCAATTCTACCTCAACAGTGGCCAACTAAACCAGTTTACTCAACCAATTTCCAGTCGCAGCGTTTGAAGGCTTTTAAAAAGTCCCGAAATACAACTTGCTATCGTCGATTTACGTGTGGCCAATCTTATTATGTCAAATCATGAGGGGTTTGTATAATTAGATAGTCACCACCAGTTGTTAAGCATGACGTAGGCTCCACATCAGTTCTTCCGTTTAAGGAATGTGGGTTCCCTTTGACATCAGGGCTTGGTTGCATTGCTAGTTTTCGTGGTTTCGTATTGAAGAAGTAAAACTCGAGGGCATTTTTCAGGATTATAATATGTTTGAACTGAAAAAAAAGAATAGGGGGTCATGGTGTCAAACTTGACTTACAGATCGTTGAAATGACCCAAGTTTTGTGTAACTTGTATTGACGGGGTTTTGTGCAACTTCACAAAAATTCCACTGAAGCCCAGCAGAAATTTGCTTGAATGACGATGTTTGTATCTAAGATTCTCTCCCTATCGAGCCCTGACCATATACGTGTTATTGGGTGAGTTGAGTGTGCGATCTGTAAAGACGATGGAGCCTAATGAAGGGCGGCATTTGGTACCACCTGGATGTGTCTTTTTCACCGATTCACGTTTAGAAATTTGCTACAACTTAAGTATGCTTTGGGAGTATCTTTCATCCAAGACCTCGTCAGTTTCTATGGACAGTGGTTCTTCAAATAAATGCCTGTAAGTTGTTCAATTTTAGCTGAATGAGGTGGGTACCTGGGCACAGAATCGATGACAGAATTCTGTAGCCGCAGAAGCACCATGCGGAGGAGCTGTAGGAGGAGCATTAGATTTGCGTCAAAGCGTTCTCGAAAGATTGTCGCTATTGTTAACATATTGTAGAAGTATTCAACATGTAGAAACAATTCTAGCTATTCTTATTACATGTAATCTCGATCATATATGTCATCATACGCATCAGGAGAATAACTATCTTCGTCGGGCTTGTCAACGAGTAGCTGCTTCTTCTTTGGCCCTGTCCAAGCAATTCCACAGTAAGAATCGTAATGAAGCACGGTATTCCTTCATGAATCCCCAAGGATCCTCCCCACAATGCTATATACCAATTCTAATGTATGCAACCAACATCAATCAGACATCCCGCTTCACTGTAGTGAACTTTTATCCAGTTCTATTCTGATGAATCTTCGAAGCCCAGTCTGAGTTCAGAAGTCATAGCCTTAAGTTAGAGGGTCAAAATACTGTACCCTAGCTCTGCATTTCTGGTGAAATCATAATCTTTAAAAAGAAAAAGAAAATGAAAACCAAGTCTGTGTGGATAACACGTGAACCAGTGAATGAGTCGTGCTGACAGTAGTACCTTTCTGCTTTCTTCCAGCTTCGGCATCCCTCAACTTTTCATTCGCAATCACTGCTATGCTTGAGGCAAGTTCCTTAGTATGAGTAGCCGTTAGATTTTTAACAGAGTGTCGCACTAATGCCTTCAAAAGGGTCATGTAATGAAAACTTTTCTGCAAAGGTTAACAATCCACCACACAGCAATCAAGTTACAGTCTGCTCGCGAATCATAACCACACGACAACTGATTTTCATAATCAAAACAGTAATTCAAAACATTCCAAGGTTCAATAACCTTAACCAGTTAAGATTCAGGTTTTCGATAACCTAGAAATTGTTTCACACGAATCATAATTTCCAGTCTCAAATAAGACCATGCAAAGTCGGTGACCTTCCCCATAACGACGCATACCTCAAAGGGTCTGATCTTGTCAAGCACTAGATCAGCATATGTAAGAAAGTCATTCGAAGACTTGGGGATAAAGTCTTCCAGGGTGTTTCCCTCTTTCGATTCATGTCCTGGAGACAAAGCGGCGACATTTCTGTTGTCAGCTTTTTCGACCAACCTGCCATGTACAACTTTCAACAGTCAATATGTACCCAGGAAGCCATTCGTATCGCCGATGACCATCATCAACTGAGTAACTCTACCATACCTTCGTTGCCGTAGTTTCTCAGTTAGAGGATCTGAAAATGGCTCGTCCTTAGATGTTACATTATTGGCCTTGTTCCTTTTCTTCTCTGGCTTTAGCTCGGAAGGGGATTCCTAAAGGTCCACAGTTTTTTTTTTTTTTTTTTTTTTTTTGTTCAATCAATCAGTCCTTCACACAGATCTCAGTTCTTTCCCAGCACGAGAGGAGGTAGGAAATCCACTACTTTATACAGTACAAGACCATATAATTGAGATGCTTTCCCAAATCAAAAACTTCACTCACATATAACGTCTCCTATTCACTATGCTAATGGCCTTCTTGATTAAGCATGAAAAATTCCGAATCATTTCATAGACTGAAAGGCTTACCGTTCTAGGCTTTTCCACGACCTTGCAGTTTGTCTTTACCTCTTCGACGTCTTCATCACCCCACTGGGCTTTTGGCACCTCCTTCGCCAACTCCACGGGCAGTGGCTCAAAATCCTCATTATCTGCGAAACACGCACATTGCAATGTTGAGTGCACTTTTCATTACTTGAAGTTGAACATGATTTGTTGGGCGCGATCATGACAAGCATCGCTGCATGATATTTCAAGAAGAAACTCGGGTACAAGTATCAAAGAACGTGAAGAGAAACGCACCCCAGTCATCCATGATGTTTAGTTTGTAATGAGCTTGAAAAGCAATCGACTCCTCACAGCTATATTCTCCCAACCGTTAAAACCTCCGAACTGGACGTGGAAATCCCAAAAATTTCATAGATTAATTTGTTTCAGCTACTAATTGATCCAACACTCGGAGGTGCTGCACGAAACACAGGTAAAACTTCCTTCAATCGCTCAAGATGACACAACTACTTTGTCAGAAAATTCATCGTTCAATATGTACTAGTACCATTCCATTTCGTTCAAGGTAATCACAACCACCGCTAATATAAAGAATAAGCAAACAAACAGCAATTGGCGTTGCGAAACTAACGATTTCTGTGTAAACCTCCAACAGGTCAATCAAGTAGCACCACGCGAATAGAAAGTTTCTCAAAACGAATTCTATAGAAACTGCTCGAGTTAAGAGAAAGCTAGACACAGATGACGAAAGCACATCGGAAGCTAAGAACCGAGAGCATCACAGAGTCTTACAAGGTACCCCCCCCCCCTAAGGTACCCCCCCTGTAGAGCAAGAGCCTTTATAAAAACTCCAAAACACTAGAAACCCACGAAACCGGAGGTGATCGAGACTAGACTGGCTTCCCGAAGTAGAAGGAAAACCAACCTTAGATCGCCAGAAGAATTTTCCAGAAGCACGAAGAAGCTCCGAAGGCTTGGAGGGGACGCAACCAAGCGAAGCGGCAATCGAGGCATCATCGCACGAGCCCATGATGCGGGACACTCAATCGAGTCAAGGCCAGAAGAAAATTTTAACAAAACAAGTTGAACAGAGTTCGGTGCAAAGCACGAGGGCAGCCAGCGACTTTGCCAAATCATGCGAGGAGAGGTAGGTTCTGGAATTGCGATGTTCATTTCAACCCCCCAACGCACCCGATTTCCTGAACCTTTTTTTCGAATTCGTTTTCGAAGCTCCTCCGCATCGTGGCGCCGGAAATCCGCCGCACCGACGATCGGCAGCACTGGGTCAACGTCACGTGCACAGCACCTTCTTGCTTTGCGACCGACTCGGACGAACGAAATTTGAACTTACGTCAACGTTGCCTTTCTTCGTTCGTTTGTACGTTCGTTCGCTCGTTCGTTAGATCGATCGTTTGTTTTGTTTTTGTGTATTTGTTTTGTTTTGTTTTTGTTTTTTTTTTCTTGTCTCCTTCTTCTCTTTCTTATTTAATTATTCATTCTTGGAATATTATCAACTTTTGGGCATTTAATAAATAGGAATATCTGAACAATTTTTTATTGTTTGAATTTTAATCACTCTACTTGTGTCTAAATCTGCATTTGTAATAAAATTATCTACATTGAAAATGCTTTGGTGTTCCGGTGATTGGTTTAGTGCTTTAGTAAAAAAGGGAAATTCCAACACTATTTCTTAATACACTATACATATATATATATATATATATATATAGAGAGAGAGAGAGAGAGAGAGAGAGATACATTCTGGAAATGCAGAACTTATTCAATTTTAACGACTTAAGTTTAGTACTTAAGACATATTGTTTAAATATATTTATACATCTGTTTATATTATTAATATTCATATCATTTTATCATTTTAATATTTTTATTATTTCATCAATTTCCGAAAAGAATATCAATCCTTTTTGTTCCTTTTTTCTTTTATTTTTCATAAAAACAGAATCTAACTATACCTTGTTATTGTTGTCACTTGTCTTCATTTTGTTTGTTTTTCAAATTATATTTTCCTTAATAAAGATTTTTTTAAAATTAAATATTTATTTATATATTTTTAAAAATGCTTTATTCATTGAACAATGTCCACCTTACTAATTAACAGCTGTATGCAGGTACAAGACAATGCATACAGACAATGTATGCATGGTCTACAAGCAAAACATTTTTTATGCTTAAAGTTTGTGTTATTCTTATTAATGAAATTTAAATTGATTTTAACTAAAATTATTATTATTTTAAAATATAATTTTTTTTTCTTAAAATATAAAATAATTTAAGATAGTTCTCATTGTGTTAAGAGTGAGAAAATAAAATATGATGTAATAAATATTTTCAATACTTAAAATAATAAACATAATAAAATATAAATGGCAAAAAAATGGTTTTAATGTGAAATATAATGGAGTTATAAATAGAATGATATTAGTGCCATCATAATTTTTGCTATTGTTACCATAACTTTCTATCTATTATATGTTGTAATAGTTTTTGCTAATGCCACCACAATTTGCCCTAAATATGTTCATCTAAAAGTATATTCAATATCCATCTAATGATTTTAAAAAATTAAAATATCTTTAAAAAAATTGTATTATAATCTATTATATATATATATATATATATATATATTTATATTATATTTTTTTTATTTAATGAAAAATCAAATGTAATAATTTGAGAACAGAAGCAATATTAATTTATGAATCTACTATAAAATAATGTAGAATACCATGTCACAATAGAAGATGTTTGGCAAAGATATTGGACAAGTAAAATTTTAACAATTGGATAAGTTATATTATAAAATAGAAGCCAATGATAGAATGCTAACATAAAATTTGCATAAAAACACAATTTATTAAAACTCAAAATTATTATAGAGCAATTTTTTATATAATATTAAATAAAGGCAGAAAATATAGAAGTTAATAGAATTTTGTGGTTTACAACAATATTACAATTTAGAGTACATTCCTATTTCTTTTGATATATTTTAAGTTTATTCTTGTATACCATCAAATATTTTCAAAATATCTATTTAATATATTATATATATATTATATTTTAGTGATTTATTAACAATAATATAATTTAGTGTACAGATTATTATCACATATATATATATATATATATATATATGAATATTTTTTTTTTCTAATTACTTATTCAAATTTGACAAGGTATTTTTTACCAATATAAATCTATATAGGCTTTTTCAAAATCAATATATTAAAGTGGTAGGGATAAATTGGAACATTTTTTGCTATATTTTAAAGAATTAGAGAATCTCGAATTAAGATTGGAATACAAGAAAATATTAATAAGATTACTAATAGTCATAATCTTATTTTTATATATAGACTAACTAACAGAAATATCAAGTGGAAGCTTTTTTAAGACCACATAGCTTGTTGTTCAAATGTTCAAGTTGTAGGACACTTCTACAATAGTTTTTTAAAAATATGAAACTTCTAAAAAAGTTTCTATAGCTATGAGGCATATTAAAAAGAAACTACAAATCTATAATGTGTTTTAAAATATTCTTTAATTGTTTTTGAAGAAACTATTTACTTAGCATGTTACTATATCTACTTATTTCTATTTACTTGCATTTCCTTAAGTAGTATATGCATTTATTACAAAAATCATTGACTATGTAAAGAATTCATAAGTACAGATTGGAATTTGACATTTAATAATTACCGTACATTTTACAAGTTGTCTTCTTTGGCATCTTTTATTTTTGTTCTTTTAATGTACTAAATTTTATAAAAAAATATTACAAATTTTATTAGTAACACTTAAACTTCTTTGCCAATAATATTACTATGAATAAAATCTCATTAATTTATTTTAGTATTATTTTAACTTGGTTTTAGCTTCTTTTGTAAAGATATTTAATTGAAATAATAACTTTAGTATAATTTTGAGCAAAAATTTTCTATTTATAGCAATTTTTTAAAAATATATTGTAAGGTAAAATAAAATATCATAGGCTAATATGTACATATATTGTGTTTTGACATATATAAAATTGATACCAATATATTTAAAAAAATACTATCATCATCATAATATTAATAAAAGATATCAAATGTTAAAAAACATAGCTTGTAAAAAAAACAAACTATTAGATATTAATTAGATTTATATGTACTATTTTTAAATATTATAATTATTTTAAAAAATATTATAATTTTTATTAAATATTTACTTATATAAATTTTGCAGAAAAAAAATTTAGACAACAAAATTTTTATACAAAAAAAAGCAAAACTACGTGTTTACACAACACTTTTGTAATGTTCTAATATCACATATTTTAAAAACCTCTACTTTTGTGCATCATAATGTTTTTCTTGACAAATTTCATAATCTATATTATTATCTATGTTAGACTTATTTACCTACATTAGTAATAAAATCATCAACATTATTTGAAGATTAATCATAATAAATAAATAATATTATATTGTATAAAATAAAATATATTCTTATCTAGTATTTAATATGTGTGTTATTTTACTTTTATTTAAATTATTTTAAACATTAAGATTTTATTTATTTATTTGTTTTAATATACTAATATAACTCTCAATTTTAACTTACCATCCATGTTGAAAATAGTGCTGTCTAACTTGAATGATTGTAGATGCTCATGTGGTCCATTGGTGATTAAAGACAACAAGAAAAAAATATTGTAAACAAGTATGTGTTGTTACTGAAGAATTTCGAAAACTTTGATTGTAATTTAGTATTTTTAATTAAATTTTAAAAACATATTTGACGAACTTAGAAAACCCATGCACTCATACAATATGTGTTTTTATATAATTTTTTTTTCAGTAATATAGAATGTTCTTAAATTGCCCAAATGTATATAATACTATAGTCAATTGAAATTTAATAGAGGCTTACTGAACATCTCCATGCGAATTTATGAAAAGAAAGTGTTTTTCAATGATGTCAAAAAGTCTATATAAAGAATCTTAGAATATCTATAAACATTTTTAGAATAATGTTTTTGACCACAATACAAACATGAAAAATGGAATTATAGATTATATATATATATATATATATATATATATATATATATATTTTTAAAATTTGTATATCTTATTTTTATAAGAAGCACATACATAAATTGAAACTCTTCAAACAAAATATCATTCTACATAATGTTTACAATATTTAATGGTTTTCATTGTCACATATCATTAACATTATTAACGTCCACAATATTTTAGTGCCTGAAATGCTTATGTTCAAATCAGATTTTACAATATCAATGTCATAGATTGGAGCATTAAATATGTATCCACCAAGAATATCAATTTGTCTATAAATAAACATTTAATATTTTTCTCAAATAGAGATTTTCCAAAAAAGCTCTATATTAGGAGGCATCAAAGTAGAAAATCGATTCACTTTTAGTTTAATAAAGAATAAAGAAGCCAATGAAAAGCTCCAATCTAAAAACCACCAAAAAAACTTAATTTTCTAATGGAATAGAAGAAACACAAAGCACAATTGTTGGGGATCATCAACTCAAAAGTCGAAGACTCTATCAAAAGCTGCCCTCCTTTGTTATCTCTCATTAATTCGACAAAAGACAAAACCATCATGAATAAAGTAAAAAGAAACACAGACAAGTATATGATTCCTTTCTAGGTAACCATCTTCACTCTAATAAATAAATAAAATAAAATAAATGCCAACAGCTCTTCAATCCATAGCTTATCAATTAAAGAAACATGATTCCCTTAGTCAAAAATCTCTTAGCACAAAATAACCACCACAAATTCTGGCACTATTATTATTATTATTATTATCATTTTTATTGATATCATGATTTTTTCCCCTTCAAAGACCCAAAAATCGCACTCCATGATGAACAGCATACACCTCGTTCCCTACCCACTATTCCTTAACCAAGTCATACAAATTTTAAAGTAACAATGCCCCAAAAATAGGCGAAGTTGCGCGTGTCAGTGCGTGATAAGAAACTGGAGGTGGGTGTGAGATGGCTGCTGAGGTGGCGGATGAGGTGGCTGCGGAGATGGGTGCTGAGGGGGACTGGCGAGGCTTGGAACTGTGTCGGAGTGCACACTTTGGACTAAATCTAGCTAGCTCGCTGTTGCCCCCGCTCTCGCAGCGGAAGCTGGGAAGAGAGAGGAAGGATGGAGCCGGCCCCGCAGGATTCGGTGATTGACAGGCTGCATCCGTCGGGAACTAGACCCTCGCATAGCAATTCAGACTCTCGTGCCGACGAAGTCAAGACATTGTGTGTGGTGGTGTACCCAGGTGCGATCTCTAGAGCACGAGTGAGACTAACCTACCCAGTCTGTGTCTGAGAGCTTCGCTACGGATTTGAATTCCGTTTGTCGATGCAACAACGTCTGTGTGTGCAGCGCAGGATGTTTTGTCGGTAGACTAGTTAAGTGGCCTCGCTGACTGGAGCATAAGCGGTCCTGAAGGGACCTGTCCGCAGGGAAATCTCGAATTTGATTGTCAGGTGAATGTTGGAGAAGGTGGTTTGGTTTACTGAGGGAGAGTTGCGAGCATGATCAGGTATCCATCTAGATTAGCGTATTGTGGATGTGTTCTTTCAGCATCGTTTTTTTAAGGGGGTTTTATTGTTTATTTACTTATTATTGTTTTGGTAACTGTGTAGGCTTCTTTCCATCGCGTTTCAGGGTGGTCGCGAGTAGGATTCAAAATCCATCCTTTACCACATACTTCAAGGCTACTATTTATTGTCAGTGCTATGTGACTTTGAAAGTTGCTGGTAGTGGTACTCTGGGGATATATAGATTTTTGTAGCATGTCTTCACTTGTAAGTCTTCTTGTCACAACATTGCTAGTGAATATTTTGGATGTGGAAATCTAGAGTGGTAATCTCGTTGGAAATTGACTTTGGGCGACGTCCGCTTCTTGAAGTTCACATCTCTGCAGTACGTCTACCACCATGTCAGTACACGGTTTGATCGGCTCACGTGCACTTTTTATTTAGGCATCGAAAATTTCTGAGTCAAAGGTGGAGCAGTTTTTGCACAATTTTTTGGTAGAGGGGTGATTACTTAAATGAAAGAGTCTGACTGCTTTGACTGCACGGCCGACACTGATGTTACTGATGTTGGATTACCTTGCGCAGGGTTCACTTAATCAGCATCTTGCTAGTGTGGACCATCTTATGGGGATTGATTCCTAGCGTGAGGACTGCGGGTTTGACAAGCTTGGGTTTGTCGTCACGACTTTCAGTTGGGGATACCCTTGTCTCACCATCTGGGCGGTTTGAGCTCGGGATATTTGCGCCTGCCGGAGGAAGCAGAGCAGACCTCGGTTACCAGCTCGCCATCCGATACGCGGAGCTCCAACATGTCGTTACGTGGGTAGCCAACCGTGACATTCCCCTCTCCTCCAACGCATATGTCTATGTCTCTCCGTATGGCAATCTCCAGCTATTCGACCCGATTAACAACCCGAACAAACCCTCCTGGACCTCGAACGCCGCCGCCAATGTACGTCTGAACACGATTGCCTTTCTCCTTGATGATCCAGCCTCACGCTAGATGGCTGTTAGTTTACTGAGTTGTTTAGTATGCTTTTGGTGCAGCTTGGAGTCGTGCAAGCACTGCTGCTGGACAGCGGGAATCTTGTGCCAGAGATCAGAATCAGAAGGTACAATGGGATTCCTTCGTGAACAGCCCGAGCACAGACACGCTCCTGCCGGGACAATATCTGCTAAGGGCGGCGAACTTGAACATGTCCTCATGGAAAGCCTCCGACAATCCCGCGACTGGATTGTACAGCTTCGGATGGGGTGGCTTGAACATGAGCGTGTTGCAGCTCACGTGGACGTCCCCGAAGCAGTTCATGACTTGGACAGGTGGTGCTTACATCCCTGCCCCTGACGTCCATACTCCTCACACCATCACCGGTGTGAGCTCTGTCTATTTCCACCCAACGTTTGGGCATCTCTATGCGACCAGTAGTCCGGCCGACACGGTGCTTCTCTCGGGTAGTGACCCCGTTGCTGCCAATACGATGAAGCGTATCACGATCGACACAGACGGGGGGCTCCGGATCTGGCAGTGGAACATAGGAACTTCGAAGTCATGGACCGCGGTTGCAAACTGGGTTCTCGTTGAGCGGCCTGAGAGCAGATCTCAGTGCACAGTTATGGGTACGTGTGGCCCCTATGGATGGTGCATTAGTGCGAAAGCTTCTGTGGATAAAGTGCAATGCAAGTGCCCGAATGGATTCAAGCCGATCAACGAGGAGGATATAACAAGAGGCTGTTTGCCGGTGGTGCCATTGGTGGGTTCGGATTGTAACGATACCGCGACGGTGATGATGGAGGAGCTTGCAGGGGTGGACATGCCGTGGGGTGGTGGTTACCAAAATCTCACTGGGGCAAATTCTTCGCGCTGCAAGGAGAAGTGCTTGTCAGTTTGCGAGTGCGCCGGGCGGTGTATTCTGCCCAGGAGCAGTTTTGCTGGCTGAAACAAGGTATTTGTCTTCTTATACATGTGAGAGGACATATTGAAAATCTACCGACAGTGAAACACTCTACTGGCTACAATTTTACTTTTTCCATATTTTCTCTTGATGTTTCTGGATCTAGAAGGTAACTGTATTCTGCTGTGATCCCCTGTTGCAGGTCCCCTGTTTAACATAGGGTATCCAACCGTTGAGCTCCATGGCAAGGATCGCACGGCCTTCATAAAGATCTCAAAGTTCCAGCCTCTAGCACCGGAACCTGTTAAGCCCTTCGAACATGTTCGCCCTGCAGTCATCGGGGGAATTGTTGGAGGTTTATTCGTTGGTGCACTCCTGGTACTTTTTTCAATTTTTTGGTGTGCCCGCAGAAGACCACGGCTATCCGATAACGGAGTATTTGTCCCAGTGAGATGTCCGTCGGATGATTTACCACCAATAATTATTCCAAAACGTTCTTTGGAAGTCTTTGAAACTGCCGGTTCAGCGTCAAGACATTGACAGACTGTAACGGACATTGCGGAGCCATCAGACAGATGCGCAATTGGATACTTGTTTCTCCTCAAAGGGATCCTCTCTCGCAGTTGTAATTCCGATTTCACCACCGGAGATTCTGTATTATTCTCTCGAGGTCCAAAGAGTTCATCTGACGTTGTCCCTAACAAACTTAGGATGGAAATGTGGATGCAGAGAGGGAGTGGGCGTGTACAAAGTTACGTGCGTGGCCCTAGGTAACAATTACGCTGCATTCACATTCTAGAAAAAAAAATGTACTTCAGTTATTGCAATGGAAAATTATTGTATAACTCGTTGAGCAGGTTTACTTTGGAAACAGTGTTCAAATCACGCACATACGAGCATCGACTAAGCGCCTTATATTTGATTCCAAACTACTCTAGAAAATTTTGCCCAGGTTTGTGTAGCTGCATGGATATGTTGGCATCTTTCGTACTTCCAATCCAAGTTCCAATGGATGTTTCTCGTGTTGAAAGACGACTGCCTTGCGAATCTCAAGCTGATGATGTAACGTGTGCTCGATGCCAGCTCCCGCAGAGTTACACAAGCATCTTCATTGCTCTGTCTACATGAATGAACCCTCAACAAATGCATCATGCTCATGTGTTCCTCAATTTGGGTTCAATTTTCTTTCGACCGTTATGAACTTGCATCCAAGTCTCAGGGTATTTGATCCACTATGTTCACAACATCTATGGACTCCCACCAAGCTTGTTTCTGGTTTAATCAGAACCCCCTTTGCATGAAGATTACATATGTCCGAGTTCCCCACGTCGGTCAATCAAATCCACTTCGTCATTCAGCTCATCAACTTACATGTGTTTATATCAGGTCTTCCATTTTGATCAACATCTAAAATATCTTCTGGGTTCTCCAATAAGCTTTACTTGGTGAGATGGCTCACACATATGTGCATGGAAGCTACCAAAATGGAACTAAGAATTTGAATGATACATGTCCAAGTAATGTTTGACAAATTCATTGAAAAATGTGTGGTAGGCAGTCAGAGGAGGTTGCATGATGCCAATACTCCTCGAAGTTTATCAAATAGCTCCAAAAGTAGCGTTGAAAATACACCACTCGGTGTGTTCTACGTAGGTACCAATCCAAAGTTCCATCCATAATATGATTCTACATGAAATCGTTTGACTGGTGGCATCTACTTTGCAAAGCTCTGACTCAATCGGTACTTCACTTTTCTTGGTTTGTTTCAACCAAATACACCACTAAACTTCACTTATATGCTGAACAAATAAATTCAATAAAATGATACGAAAAAATAAAAATGAAATCATTGGACATATGTAAAATGGAAAATCATTTGAATTACGGTTCTGATGCAGAATAGACAATTGCACAATTTTTACTTCATTACATGAAAATGTCAAAAGTTATGTTCTGTACAAGTAGGGCTCTGCGTTGAGGGGCACTTTACTATCACCAAAAGTATGTGAAATCTATATAAAGCGTAGATTTGCAAGTACAGTGCAATGATAGCGGGTTTTCTTCCCACTGTTGGATAGCCAAGCGAATTGATGTTGTGCAGGTAAATTGCCAAATCCCTGCGCATTTCTAGCGACCTCTAGGATAGATACTTCTTAAGCTCAGGTCCAAAAGGAGCACACTAAAAACGTGTTGTAGGAGTGATGATCACCTAAGCTAAGCGTAAACGTAATGCGTTAGTTCTTCAGTGATCAGAATTCTTCAGTTTTAGCGAGTGACAATATTTGCACTCTCATTTGGTGCAAATACATCACATAGGAGTCAATCCCAAATTCATTGAGAAATAAACAATAATACCAAGCTTCATCCGAAGAAAAAGTTGCACAGTTTGAGAAAAGCGAATCAACCTATTTCAGGTCGTTTGGGCCCACTGTTTATAGCGTTTAAGACCTTTACAAACACAATGCCTCCGCAGTTGTGAAACTTCCTTCAACCATCAAAATAACAAACTACTCAAAATTCGAATTCCCCGGTTGCCTGTCACACAAAAAACACAGGATTGATCAGAATCTTGTGGGTCTGGCATGCCTATGAAACTTTTGACTGCAAGACACCGACCTTTCTCTAAGGGATAATACCCCAAAGATCGATTGAAACAATCGAGTCTTAATTAAGCAGCAACTCCCTTGAAAATCCAACATAAGGCAGTATAATTACATAACTATGAGTAGATAAGGGTCATTCGACTCTGACAGAATTTGAGGTTGATATCCCTAAACACCCACCTTTACAAAGAGAATGTCACGATTATTTAAATGCATGATACCGTCCTTTAGAGTACACTTCCATTTGTTCTTCGACCTGGTTACCTGCTTACAATACATGAAAAATATTAGGAACGTTCATTCGAATCCAAAATCTTATCAAGGCAGCGAATTTCGAAGAATTTCTAGATGAATGGACATACGAAATACAACAACACTATCGGCACACGACACTTGGAGCATCGAAAGTCATCCGAGGAAGTGTTTATCCAGGTTACAATAGTGTACCATACATTCATAAATGATTATGTTTGAGACATACAACACGCTCCGAACCAAGCTACTAAGACAACTACTGACCTTATCAAACTGGGCAAGCACCAGATGATTGGTAGCCGGTTCATCATCACCATGGTCAGCATCATCGACGTCATCTTCGTCATCGTCTTCACATAGTGGAGGTTCAGAGCCCTCTGACTCCGTTGGTTCAGAATTTACTACCAACTTCGCTTCTGGTGCCGAGAGGTCTGCCAAACATAATAAATTCCATATTACCCTCTCACTAATGTCATTCTCCTTCAGTCCCATAAAAACACTAACTTGTCCAACAAGACTACCTTCAAAAAGTCTCGACTGCCCACTGTGCAGGCACAAAAAATAAAAAGATTGAAGCAACTAAGTCTGAAGTAAAAATAGAAAAAATTATATTTCTCACCGTCCTCTTCAGGCTCATTGTAATCCTCTGCGACACCCTGGTACTGGAGCATGTAACACAAATACATTGTTGAGCAAAAAGGAAAAGGAAACTTTTCATCAAACGTAAGGGATCTTAAAACTTTTCAGCCCAACTGACAAGAAACTGCTGGTCAGATCTACAGGAAACAATGAGGTGGTCGATGAAGATTTACATACACCATCGTATTCGTCATCAACACCATCAAGTTGTGAAGACGAAAGTTTCTGCGAAAATTTGGCGTGTATTAGATGCTCAATTGCGGCATCTGCATTCTCTCTATATAGAGACCACAACCGTAAATCTTCGTTCCTACCAACACTTTTCTCTGCTATCCATCTTTCCAATGCCTCGGGGCCCTGGTCAGTGTGAACAAGAGTGTTAGTATTCAATCAGGGGCACCAGGACCCTAGCTTATAACACTTTTTACACTTTTTGAAATCACGTATAAAACAAGCACACACGATGACGTCAAGTACAAGTTCATGAGGTATGAAAAAGGATGATAAGAGATCACACTACTATGAGATGCACATGTCAACGTAGAAGTCATTGCATCTTGCAATGAACGTCAACAACTGAAAATAACAGCGCAATCGTATCAACAACAGAGGAAGAGGACTGACCTCGTTTTGACAGCTCTCACTTACCAATGTGGACAACTCAACATCCGCAGCACCATCTCGTTGTGGGATGTAGTAGTTTCCAGAGGAAATTTCATCATGTTTCCTCTTGCCTGTAGAAATGGTAAGAAAATCCTGATCCAAGACACACCGATTTCAATGATTGTCATCTACGTTTGACGCAAAACAGATATTATACGGATAATAAGAAAGCATCAAATCGTTGCGATCATAACAGAAAATGATGTAAAAGGTGACCACCTAGAGGTTTCATGAGTACCTTGGTTATAGGAGGGGCACCCTGAGCTGTATTGAGACCCTGTGCTAGACCATTATCTACTGCTCTTTCTTCATATGCTGCAGCAAGATGATAGGGTTCACAGGACACAAATGAATAAAACCAGTATACAGTAAAAATTATTGTCCAATAACAGTTAGCGTTTCTGTAATTTACATAGTGCGTGTCCTGACCATAACTTAGATCTTTGAAACTAGCACATTCAAGTATCTGCTCTTTGCTGAACTGGATCATGGCAGTTGCAGTTCAGACCACACAATGAAATTGCAAATGCGTACGAGTGGCTTCAACTCGGGAAAATAAGTGAATTGCATCTTACAACGTAACCGACAGCACAATAACTCACTTTCATTCATATTCACTTCAACTCCACGATGTTTTTGATTCATCCACGAAGCTGGCTGTTGCTGAAACCACCAATCACAAATTGACAGCATTAGCTATAAGAAAGGTTCTAAATTAACATAGAGAAACATGCACCATTCCAGTACCAAAATTGCAGCCTATGGATATGTTGAAATTTTAAAAATTCGTGATCAACACGACGTGAACTATGACAATACAGGTTCGACACTATATAAAGCCAGAAAATCGTGCTACTGGAAGAGTTGCTCAAAGAATAAATAGAGCAGAATTTACATTCCTATCACAAAGCCGTCTGAAAAAATCACCTCAGAGAATTAAGCGTCAGTTGCGAAAAACTTTAACTGACCTGATGCTTCTCAATTTAGAATAAAAAGGCTGTACAAAAATTACAAAAAACACGCTGGAGAAGCCTTCCTATGGGCAGACTACAAAAGAAGCATCGAACTACACATGCTTCAACATACCATGTAAGAACTCGGCGCTCCATTTCCAATCCTAGAAGCAGGCTGATGACCAGAGTTTAATTGCAAGGATTCCTCTCTGGGGCCTGGAGGCATGTACTGAAATACAACAGGCTCCCGAGAAGAGGTTGATGCAGGCGCCTGCGAATTGGAACGTATCTTAATCAACCAAGACTACATGTTTCAGGCAACCATGAGGATCATACAAAGGTCCGACCTCTAATATTGAGTTCCTCACAAACTGACAGAATTGAGGCATGTAAAGATACAAAAGCACAAAAAAGCACAAAAAAGACAGTGGTGTAAATGACAAGACATCAAAGACATACCTGGGAGAAGTAATTGGGCGGAGCCTCGTATTCCTCGGCTGCTACTGGTCCGTTTAAATCGAGTACTGGAGTAGCTACTGTTTGAGGGATAGGTTTGGCTGCTGGGTTAGCGTCATGAGCAGAAGGTTCTTGAATTGCACCTGACTGCACCAACTTCAGCTCCCAGAGCTGACCAGATTTATGGGAATCAAAAATTTGACCAAGAATAAGTTACACCACGACCAGATCCACCCCTAGCATGAGAATAGCTCACTAGTAAATCAAGTACAGTAACCTGAAATTTAAATGTAACAATCTCCAGTATAAAAGCAGAAATCACTAAAAGAAAAAAGTTTTCGTTGTGTGTGATCCTTGATGACAAATATACATAATCTCAGCAGAAAAACACTGAGGTAACGAACACGGCATTCACACCTTACCTAATCGGAGCTAGCACACCAATAGACCAGCGACAGGGCCAATAGGAGAAGTGCAAAAACATACAAATTAGAGACGGCCTCTAAGCACTGCTGATTGAGTTCCTAAGTTCAACAGAATGTAAAGACTCTTACTAAGAGAGAAAAAAAATCCTTACCGACTGCAGCTCATTCAGAATATTGTCATCTACTCCTTCACTCTGGAAATCGGTGCGCACATTGTTGATCACGTCTTCTACAACGTGAAGATAAACATTTGATACACTCATAGCCATTTCCTTCTCCTTCGCTTGTTGCTTGGCGTTCGACATCTTGCTAGATCTTTTTATATAGTTGCAAAGTCCCAACCCTTACGAGGCAGCACTATTTGAAGTCCTACCAAAATTAAGTACCAGAATTTTGGAAAACATCAATTTGCTCGATCTAAATAGGTCTAGATTGCGTGTGAGAAGGGTTAGAGCTAAGAAAGGATTAAGAAATCGACAGAGAAAAACCTTCGTAGAAAACCTCCTGAACTCCCTCTGCATCTGTGATTGACCCGAAACAAGTCAAAATGTCAAAACTCGGAATCAGAATTCTCCGTGCACCACAGGCTCCACGCATCTCATTGCAGCAAGCATTCTCTTAGCCTAACCATGTGACCTCAATCGAAGATGGAGCGCGATACGAACTTTACAGTGCTCAAATTGCATAGCAAGGGAAAAAAGCAAGAGCAATATTATCTCGCAAAATTCCTCATCCATCAATCAATGTGAAGCACAAACTTTGAGGCACTAGCTCAAAGCCCTGTAGTCCTTTCACAAACAAATTCTATGGAGGCAACTAATTCCGACTAAACCAATCATTGTATCACCGCCCTCTGACCCTACTAAGCTCGCGGCTTCCTTCAATCCTTCTTGCCATCAATCACTACATTCCTTGAAAGGCTACCAACACCATCCACCCATGTATTATCTTTCATCACGGTCCAATTTAAGTAATATTAAAAAGACGCAATCGTTTCTTAGGATCGCACAAATTCCACAAATTCCATCACCCACAAAGCGTTCACCCCATTACGAAAGCAATGGCGGCGCTAAAAGCACCTACAAGTAATTGAACGAATCTTGGACATTAGCGATCAGCGATCACACACAAAAGAACATACGCCAGCGCCTCGTCCAGCCTCAACTCGAACAAGACGTTCATGAAAGCAATTCTTACAGGACACCCATCCATTTCCGCAGACAATGTCGTCAAGAACTCCGGCCCAATCCATCAATCCCAGCTGTTTGTGAGGCAGGGCATCATGCTCGCATACCAGAGGAAAGCAATGCATGTGATTATGCTCCAACACAAACAAACAATTATTAAAGTAAAATAAAAAATAAATACCACACACGAGAATGCTCCACATTCGCCCCCAAAATCAGAAGAATTACATCACCTTACATCCCGCACAATCGGTCCTACTCCATAAATCACACAATTGTCCAATGAAGCGACAACCAACCAAGAAATCAATCCCAAACAATGACAGAAACAGTGCAGCCGCCGAACCAGGTGATGCAAGTTTAAAAAGTAGACCTAGAATGGAATTCCAAACGCCCGAGCCTGTCCAATGCTTCCCTCACCGCCCCCTAATTCCAAAAGCCCCTCCATAACACCCACCCCACCAACTCCAATAACCCAACCAAACTCCACATAACAATGCGTTCATCGCCACCACCCTCTACCAGCCGCCAAACCCACCTCAAGCTCAAAAAACCAATCACCGCCACCCGCATCCCACACCTCAAAAACATAACTCACCGCTCCTCTACAGGCACCTAAACCGCCCCCCTTCCTCCTTCGCCACCAACTAGGTCTCCGTTCTTCACCTCCAATCCTTTCACCGCACAAATGAAACTCCCTTCCTTCTCCACACCTTCCACCCGTTAAAGCGCAAAAACTAAAAATCTAAAAAAAGGGAGAATATATATATATATATATATATATATATATATATATATGTGAAGATAAAATCACAACACCAAGCAAGGAAAGTGCGGCGTAGAATTGTGGGCAGCGCTGCAATCCATGCCGCAGTACTTGTGGGTGAATGTGTGTATGTGGGAGTGGGTGTGTCTCTGTTGGATCAGTCTGTGCGCGATGGATCCCAAGCAGCGCTGTGTGCGAGTCTCCCTCTACGAACAAACTCGGCGAAGTCGAAGCCAGTGGCGCTTAAGTAGAACTTCCCCTCCTCCCCCTTTGGTGCCACATCTGCATTCATGGATGCTTTCTGTCTCTCTGTCTCTCGTCTTCGTCCCCTCGGTTTTATATGACCGTCTCTACCGCGCCTGTGTACGTATTTCCACCAAGAGATTCGTTTCCATCTTCACGCGTATTCAGGAATCGATGGAGGGGGCTTTTCTGGGCACCTCGGCTGGGTTCCGGAGCTTGGAGCCCTGTCCCTGTTGTAAACTTTTCGTAGTCTGTGGCGCTGCAACAGTGGTGATGGCGTCGACGATGGCTATTCATTGCTGTTATTACCACAGCAGCAATATGTATTCTTTTCTTCACCCTCATTGACGATGAAATGCGCATCTGTTCCGCCGCCTCATCGCAATTCCGTAGCCACTCACGAGTTTGTGCCGTGCGACACGAAACGAGCCGCGACCTCGCCGCTGGAAGCATCGTGTTGTGAATATCCAAAGGGATTTCGTTGACGATGAACGACAGACGACAACTGGGTTGGCAGCAGAAGTGTGAGTTGCTCACCCCCGACGAAACAATTTTGTCACGAGATTGTGAAACTGCGTCACGACGACGACGACGAAAAACAAACAAACAAACACACACACACACACCAAAAGTGGCTCGAAAAGTTGAACTAGAAAAGTAGGGTTTAGGGCTTTGAGGTATTTAACTTTGGAAGGTTAGAGGAAAAACATCAAAAGAAGGAGAAGACGAAGAGATGACAAATGTGTTTTTAATTTGACACTAAGTAAGATTAGTGATAATTTTGTGTAGCAGAATATCACTTATTGTTTCAATACATATATATGGAAATGTTAACAATTACAAGATTTGCTTTTATACAAATGTTTTTATTGGTGCAAAGATACTTACAATTGTATTCATTATGTTTTAGAGAAGTTTTATTATTCAGTGTTAAATATTTTTTCTTGAAGCCAAATTATAAGGAAAACCACCAAAGGTTAATATTTAGAACTTAAAGAACTTCAGTGATTAGAATAGAAGAGCTAACAACTTGTATTTGAATTTTTGATTTTAAAATTTCAAGATAAATGATTAGAAGCTGTGACCTAAATATTTTAGCCTTCAAAATAGTCAGGGACAAAAAGTGGGGTAATACAGAAGTGTTTTAAGTCATTAAATGCATATATTTCTATTATAATTCAATTAAATAAAATAAAATAAAATAAAATGCATATCTTAATTTGTGAAAAGTATAAACATTTATAAGTATTTCATTTATCAATATTAAGACTACAATCTAAAATTTTATTAGCCAAAAAATCCTTGTAGCTAAAATCATGTTGTCATCTAAAACATATAGTTTTTTCTTTTTCTTTTTTTTCTTTTTCTTTATTTATTTATTTTTTTTTTTGTGTTAAAGAAAAGGATTGATCTTTCAAATTTTACGAACGAATTTAAGAGAGAAAAGTCTTCAAATATATCATTGTTGACAAAGCTTTCAAGGAATTTGAAACTCTAAATACTACAAAATGTATCTACAAAAATCCTAAAAATATATTTGAGTATGACATAAAATTGTTCAATTTATAGCTAGCTTTTAAAGTTCAGTAATTTTCTATAACTTTTTAAAAATAATCTTACCATGATTCTCTTTTGACACAATTTACACAAGATTTATTAAATTGAATAATTAATCCTAAGAATTATGCTACATTGTATTGACTACACTTATTAGAGGATCCAATATTTTGATAGATGTAACAACTTTCAGATTATTTTTCAGTATCTTGGAATTTTATTAAGGGAATGATTTAAATTTAAAATATCAAAATATAGTTTGAATATTTTTTTATTTTATTTTTATGAAGTAAGGATGTTTTAATGAAATTTTTATATTATTAATATTGCATTAACATATTTGGTACTAATTTCAATGTGTGTTGGTTGATCTCATATTTACACTACTCAATTAGATATTCCAAATTGGCATATTTTATTCTTAAATTTAATACTTTCTCCACCTAAAATATTCACTATAATAATATTATATATTCTTCTACTTAACATACAATGTATTTTTTATTAAACCAAAATAATACTTTTAAACAATTATTAAACAATTTTTTATTAAACCAAAATAATTGTTTAATTATAAAAAAATTAAAAGTATTAAACTTATCCAACAACTAGGGATTTAGTAAGTAAGATATTAAAATTTTAAAAAATTATAAAGATTAAACTAAAAAAACTTCAAAAGTAACAAAAAATTAATGTAAATATTTGCAAAAAAAAAAAAAAACTCTATACAAAATTTAATAATGAGATATTTTTATTTTGCTACAACATCAAAAGTGCTTTACCTTATGACAAGTTAGAGTATTGAAATTTTGGATAATTGCTTAGTTAAAAATATATTAATCTAGTTGTACATCAATTTGAAATTGTTAGAATTAATAAAGATTTATTTTCTATGCATTTCATATTGAACTTAATATTATAATTAGTATATTAAAAAGAAAGTAAATTCTACTACCATATATTTAAACAAATATCAATCAAGAATTTAATGTCTAGATTTGAGATTTTAATAAAATAAATTAGAATGTATTATTTATTGGTATATATATGAATTAAAAATTATATGTAAGAATAATCTTACAATCTTGCAAATGCACTAAAAATTGATCATTTTATATTTTATTTGGCCTTGTTTGTAACAAATATATATAGAGATGAAATTAATATCATTCTTAGAGTTATCTTAGTCTTTTTATATTTTAGTCTTTGCTTAAGATTCTCTAATATATATATAATTATTGTTTTTTTCCAATTTTTATTTTTATTTTTATAGTATCTTAGTTTTTTATTTTAAGTAATATGTAGATTTTTTTTTTCACAATTTCGTTAAGTTTCACAATTTGAAAAATATTTTTATTTTATTTTTATTTTAAACTAATTTCATAATTCTTTTAAATAAAAAATTTTAGTTTTAATTTTTAACAACTTATAGTTTAAAACCAAAACATCTTATAAACCTTATTATTAATAACTTTTGAAGTATCTTTATATGATTATATTTTATTATAAAGTTTTTCAGAAGTATTTTTTTATAAATCATATTATTTAAAGTTTTAAAGTTAGTCTAATTTAATTTTTAAAAAGTATAAATATTTTTAAATTTTTATTTATTTTTTTGTAATATTATATGTAAATTTATAATAATTTAATATTTTTTAGATAAAAAAGTCATAATAGAAAAGACTAATTATAAAATTAATAATATATTATTTTTTCTAATAAAAATCTATTCTATATGCTTATGAATACAAAATAAAGATTTATTAACTCTTTATGTTGGTTTTGATAGATGTCAATGATAAAAAACCTTCACCTTCTCAAATTCATCTATAAAATTCCATAATAGCTTCCATATGTAGTTATTAATATTATATCTATATCAATGTATAAGATATTCCAACCTATTTTATTACAGCCTTAAATCTAAACTTCTTCTACTTCAAATTCATAATTATTGTCTATTTCTATAAAAGGAGGTAGCATTTGCCTCCTCTCGGAGTTATTTATTATTTTAAGTGGCTCATAAAAGAGATTCAAAGAACATATGATGGATCTTTATAAACTTTGGTAGGTATAATTGATATGCAATTAGATTAATCTGTTCACAAATAAAAAAATGGTCCAAGTTTATGTAATCTAACTTGCCACAATGATAAATAGTCTTTATATTAGAACAAAATAACTTTATTTTGTTGAAAACGTGGAATTGAGGTTGTTCCTTACAATAAACATATATGTTGATCTTTTGTTGTTCTTAAGCTTTTTAAAATTGTGCCTTCATTGGCATATGAAACTTTAATATATAATTTTCTAAATCTTTTTTTATAAGATTATTAAATTTTAAAAAGTTAAAAAATATCAAATTGTGGATGATAACCATAATTAATATAAAAAAGTGATTGGTGAGTAGAAAAATATATCACATTATTATAAGAAAAATTCACTAATTCTAACAAATTTGTTCAATCATCTTGCTGGTAGTTGATGGTGTATTTTATATATTGCTCTGATACTTAATTTATTTTTTTATTTTTAGATTAATATTAGGATAGATATCAAGGACATAAATTAAAAAAAAGCAAAGGATCAATATATTCTTATGTCACTAAAACAAAATAGATAATCACTCAAAAATGATATAATATTAAGATTAAAATGATTATTGCCATAGATAAGAAGACTACTCACTCTTGAGACAAGACTTAAAATAAGAAAGGTATTGATAAGAATGAAGAAGGATTTACTCTTGTTGCCATATAAACTATCAAACTAAGGATTATATTGCAATGTTCAATAGGACCTCCATTACATTGTTGTATAACATGTTATATTATTTGATAATACACTAGGCACTTGATAATAGAAGATAAATTAGAAATTACAACAAAAAAAAATTCTAACAACTCTAATAGAATTGCAATGAAATCTTAATTATTTCTTAAAAATATTTAAACAATTCTTAACATATCATAAAAAAAAAAATTAAAGAAAATTTTTTAAAAAATCTAAAGAAATAATAGAAAAACTCTAAAAAAATAATAAATAAAATATAAAACTAAGTCCGTAATTAAATGCTAATAAAATCCTAAAAAATCCTAAAATATCTCAATAAAATCTAATTTATATCTAAGTTAAATTCCAAAAATATTCTAATAAAATATTAACCAAGTCTTTACTAAATTTCAATTAAGCTTTATATAAATTTCAACCAAATTCTTATAAAAGTCTTAAAATTTCAATAAATATTAATAAAATTATTGGATTTTATTAATTTTTTTTATAAATTTTGATCTTCAAGCAAAAACCAAACATATAAATTTTAAATTTAATTGAATCCACAAGTTATCTTAGATTGTAGAAACTTTCATTAATCTTAAAAATCAAATATCTAAGACTCTAATAAA